GGAGAACATCAAGCTCATGAAGTTAAAAAAGCGCTTTTCGGGAGGCAACCTGAATTCTTAACCTTTTCTTTCTTTTCTTTTATTTTCTTTTCTATTATTTTGCATTTTTCCTTTTTGATCTTTGTAGGTTTAATTTTGGAAGTTGAGTGATGTTAGTGGAGCTTAGAATGATAAGCAAATGGCAAATTTGGCTAAGCTGCAAAATAGGGTGCTTGGGCTTTCGTGGGCATGTTATTGAACTTGCCCAAGTTGTAGAATTAAGAAAAATGTTGCAAATTAACTTGTAATGGGCAAGGCCATTTGTGCGGCTGAGCTTCCCCAGGGTGCCCGAGCAGCGCTGATGCATGGGAAGCATCACATCGCAGCAGCTATATGTGCGTGCAGGTGCTCGGCCAGGCTGCCTTACACGCTCGCGCGGCTTTGGCCTGACCGAGCTGCCTGCACGAGTATATATAACAGCCATAGTAGCTTTCATCTCTTTTCACGCATTCCCTAGAAGCTGCTCGACTATATTTTCGTACTCTCTGTCTCTCTCATTTGCGCGCTCTCAGTTTTAGCTAATTTTTACGCTTATTCCATTTGTGAAGGTTGACCATGCATTAAGCCATTAGGTTGGAATGATGCTTCATGCATACGAAAAGGATTTTGTGGATTCCCTTGAAGATTATGGAAACCCCTATATCCAGCATTCACTACATTGCGTTCCACAAGTACGCGATAAAACACTAGGATTTGGCTGAGAGATCGTTGGATATTTTTCACCAAATGGGCCACTAGTTTGACCCTGGTTACATGAACAACCTTGTGTAGGATGACTAGTGTTTGGATATCTATATTAATATTCGTTATAATTCATAGGTTGTGTGTAAGACTAAGGACCTTGTACACCAATAGGCTGAGAAGGCACCCTTTATGCAGATGCAACAGCTTGTGTATGGCATGCTGGACCTTGCAGGTTTCCAATACCATAGTTGGTGTAACTAACTCCAACCTCTACTTCTGTAAAAGGTATTGTTCCCATTGAAGAGGTTAATGGGTATGAAGTAACAAGTGGGGAAAAAGACGAGGAAGACGGACCTAGACCGTTATGATTATAGCCTGACTCATAACCTGATCATGAACCACTAACTCTTCCTTGTGCCCTATACCCTTCATCAGTGCCAATAGGAAGGATACTTCTCGGTATCGACAGATGGGGCAGATTTGCATGAGATCTAGTCATATTTTCTATTCTAGGGTATCGCAGAAGGATATTCTCCCTTTGATTTGTTTCAGTAATCCCACTACATACCCTAAGCAGTTAGAACACTCACTAACTTCTCATTGATAATTAAGAAAAATTGGTTATGTTTCTCCACTAAGGGTTCAGCCTTATAACTACTTCCATTTCTTTACTTTTTTTAAAGCCACGTTAGTAGCGTTTAGAGCTTCATTGCTATCTAGAATGATACTATCCACTTATTTGGTAACCGATTGTTGAGAACTGGAGCCTAAATTCCTTAACTTGGCAGTTATCACTTTGGCGGTTTCTTCTACTATGACACGATTTTAGTTATCAAACTTATTTCTATTACTTCTTTTAGATCTTCCATTAGATACTTTACAATATCTACATATTTTGTATATATTGTATTGAGTAGATTTTTGGTTGGAGAATGACTTTCTCCTATATTGAGAATCAACTCATCCTGCCTTTGCGTTTAAGGCTTGAGTTGTTTAGAAGAGTGTGTCGTGTATTCAGTTTGCAGTTAATTTTCTAGATCTTGTTGATCCTCTAAAATGGTCTCAAGGTTGTGTTCAGATGAATTAGCATCTTCCTAAGTAGTTTCTTTACGTGCTGAACGCTTAGGAGACATTGGAAAACTTCCAAATGCGCAGATTTAAATGGATTTAGTTTAGTGTTCTCCCACCGTGGTCGGTAAAAAACTAGTTGAGGTAAATATTGTTCTTTGCCAATAAGTCAAATACCCTATCTTATTCTACAGTGTTAAGGGGTTGCCCGTCTTGTTACTAGTTTCAGAAGATTGAAACCTCCCTAATGTAACAAAACAAACAGTAAAGAAGTTTTTCGCACATAAATTAAACAAGTTAGATTTCTTAAAGAAATCAAACATGTGACAAAAGATGCAAATTCTCTCCATTAATTGAAAAATAAAGTTAGGTCTACAATTGTAAAAGCTGAATAAAAGGTTACCTCCATGTTCATACAATTGGAAAAGACGGTTGATCTTCAAGACATGCTAAGAAACTAAACTATCGCTTGACTATTAAGCCAAGGGAAAACTAAGGAAGCTAAAAAGAAAGGCTAAAGAAAATGAAGTGTTTGTTGTTCATTGATTTGTTGATGCCTTCCTTTAGTTTCTTCACTTCTATTTATAGACAAAACTTAGAGCGATTTTTGCTGACTCCAATAACTGTTGTGCAGTTATTCTTCTTGGCGTCAACTCTCCTTCTAAAATCAATGTCTTGTTTTCTTCCAAACCGGTTTGTTCCTTTTCTTGGGCTATCTGTTTAAGTTTAGTCATTCTATTTTACTCCCCTCGTTTGACCAAAACCATTAGTATAATTCTAAATTCCATATTCCACGGTCAATAGGTCAAAGTCAAGAAAATCCAAAATTTCAATTTTGGGTGTAACAATTTTCAACCTTTGTCACATTGATTTCAAATTCAACATATAGGTTCAACAATCACACCATTAACAAAACGACGATCAAAATCATGACAAAATTCTGAATGCGCCTCCGTCACTTCCGTCGTTGGAATTTCTCTTTCTCAAAATTTTCTCTTAAGTTTTTCTATTTCTCTCTCTAAAAAAATTCAAATAATTGAAAATATGGAGAAATATACAAATTTCTAAATTGAAATCCTTTCAATATGGAAAATAATTACCAAACTCCTTCAATTTCGGAGCAAATAATTCAATTTAATTACCAAAATCAATGTCTTGTTTGCTTCCAAACTGGTTTGTTCCTTTTCTTGGGCTATCTGTATAAGTTCAATCATTCTATTTTACTCCCCTCATTTAACCAAAACCCTTAGTATAATTCTAAATTACATATTCTAGGGTCAATAGGTCAAAGTCAAGAAAATCCAAAATTTCAATTTTGGGTGTAACAATTTTCAACCTTTGTCACATTGATTTCAAATTCAACATACAGGTTTATCAATCACACCATTAACAAAACGACAATCAAAATCATGACAAAATTCTGAATGCGCCTCCGTCACTTCCATCGTTGGAATTTCTCTTTTTCAAAATTTTCTCTTAAGTTTTTCTATTTCTCTCGCTAAAAAAATTCAAATAATTGAAAATATGGAGAAATATACAAATTTCTAAATTGAAATCCTTTTAATATGGAAAATAATTACCAAACCCCTTCAATTACGAAGCAAATAATTCAATTTAATGCATTGTTCGAAAATGCGATTTCGGGCACAGTTTCGGTCGAGATCACGATAACAATAACGTGTCGCGGTAACAGAATTGATGCAGTTATCGTGGATATAGGGAACGAATTTTAGTTTTATAATTTTATATGTTTTATCAATATTACAACTCATAAATATTAAAAAATTAAAGTTTTATCATTTTCTAATAATTAAAATTAGTACTTCCCCTGTTTTATTAATATTGCAACAAGGAAGAAATTACGCATCCCAAAGCACATTTTATATGCTAAATATCTATAATTGTGTAAGAGTAAAAATTATAAAAATTTGATATTGTGAAAGTATTTTATGAGACGAATCCAACAAGATCCCACATGACTATATTTTACTTAACGTATAAATCATATTATATGGTCAAACAAGAGTGATGAATAGTGTAAAAAGTCTATTGTTGCAATATTAATAGAACGGAGGAAGTATTATTTTAATAATTTTCAATTATTACTTCAATTCCTCTAAAATAAATTGTCTTCTACTGTAAGCATTGGGTAACACATAAATAGAGAGTAAAAAGAAAATAAAAGGTCAAAAGCAAAAAGTAATGGTAAATGACACTTGTCCAATACCCACTTCCTAACCTCACCTATCTGACAGCTCACTTCACACCCCCACTCAAATATCAGAGCACCCCCCCCCCTCTCTCTCTCTCTCCTCTTCTGGTCTTTCTCTCTCCTCTTTCTCTTTCCATTTCTCTCTATTTTTCAATGGAGTCGAAGAAAAAATCGCGAATTGACGCGATTTCTAGAACGATTCAGTCCAAAAATGCGGTGTATTATAATAACCCGCATCAAATCGCTAAATCTCGGTTCGGTAAGATTGAAAACCGCTACAACTTGCCCGATACGTTATGATACGGCTGCATTTTTTAACCCTGGTTTAATGACTCAAAAACGAATGTTTTTTAGAAAATAGTAGTATGCTCTTTTCTTTATTTTTTTTTTAATTTTTTAAAGAATGAAAGGTTGGATATACTAAGCTTGGTACATCCTCCTCCACCTTAAAATTATATTGACTACACGAGTAATTACATAATACAGTCAAAATAACTTGTGTAAAGATGATTGACTAATCATCTAAATTTAACCAAGGAAGTACTCCCTCTATTTTAATTGTACTATTCATATACATGCTTTTTACGGAAGTTTGTGCTTTTTTTAAATGATCAAAGAGTCATATGAGATCTAACATAGTCATATACGCATTTAAGAAAAATAAAGGAAGCAGCAGATCAGAGAGAACTTTCTACCCTCCCATTTAAGCAACACTTCAACCTTTTTTCAGGCTGGTATAATCAAAATAGTCTAATTGAGTACCTCTCATACGCAGAGAAACAATGGATTCCGCAACAGCAGGTGCGGCGAGGGTGCCATTTGATTAAATATTACGAACACGACACTAGCATGCCAACATAAGACATGAGACACAAGATTGGACATGATCCCAAACCCGGGAGGAGAAAGGTCCATGGACCTTACAGGTTACAACCACACAATATTGTAACAAAGATGAACAAGTAATCGATTGTTAAACTTGTAATTGACACAAGCATAAGAAAAAAAGCCCAATCTCACTTCTCATACTATCAATCATCAAATTTAAACTTGGATCTCTTTACAAAAAAAAATTCCTACTAATCATAGCAATAAAAACATTTCAAAGCTTTGCATTCGCAAGTTAATGTTGGGTAAAAAAAAAAATCGATTGTCTTTAACAAGTTTTGAAACAGCTTTCTCAATTTACAAAGAAGTTGTGAATCTAACAAGTCACCTTCTTCTCTAAAACTCGAAGAAAAGTCAGGAACTGAACACCTATACAACACCACACTACAGCCTTAATTTTCCATTTTTCCTGCAAAAATAATCTTTTTCTTCGTTTTTCTAGTTGAGTCAAATGCGCAGTAAACTAAATATTGAGTTTCCTGTTAGGAGAGATCAGAACCTGCGTATTTTCCATAATAATCCTACAGCTCAGTCTTTGAGCTACCTGTCACAGTTCCAAGGATAAAATTTCAGCTACAATCATAATATCAATAAAAGTAATTTTATTGAAAATAATAATACAAAGTAAATACGGAAAATATATTTAATTTTTCCTACCATTTGGTCCTAGACCACCAACAGCAGAGTTAGAGTCAAAACCCATATGAAGAAGACTTTGCAGGTCACTATCCCATACAGCCTGTATAAGCCAGGAAAATAAACATGTTACATTATTTTTTTTACACTATGAAAACAGGCAAGTTACTTTATTTTAAGGAGTTTGAGGGGCTTACTTGAGGCATGTGATGATATTGCAACGCTGAATTTGGCATAGCAGTCAAACTTTGATGGATTCCTTGAGAAAATGGATGGGCAGAGCCCATTCCTTGGTTAAATCCCAGTGCAGACGATTCATTACCTCGTGAGTGCAGAATCTAAGCAAGAGGAAATGAGAGCAAGCTCAACACTAGCTCAATTATTGTGTAATTGAATATGGAATTAACAAGTCTTTTGAAGAACTTTTGCTTACATCTTTGGTTAGAAGTCTCTCAATATCAAAGTTCAGCTCAGGGTTCACGGTGGAAAGTTTCATTGACAGAAACTGTAACAAGGAACAAAAAAATGGTCAGCAAGCTTTTAAGGTCCCCAAGAATTTGAAGGGAAAAATGGGTTCCCAAACCAAAACTAACATGTGCTATCAGCAATTAACAATAATCGCAGTACTATTAAGTCACCTCAAAAAATTTACTATGTAAGTTCTGATAAGCTCCAATAAGTTCTGTAAGAAGCAACGAGTGTTTATGTTCATTTCAAGATTAAAACAATTTATGTTTTGTTCCAATAAAAAGTAGAAACTCAGGCAACTTCAAGTAATCATTTGTTAGCTGAAAACAACGGAACTGTAATAAAGTAAATGTACGTCTAGATGCAAATGCTGTTTTTTCAGGAAATTGAAACCGAAATCAATTAAAGCAAAGAAGGTTTCAAACCTAAAATGTAGCAGTCCACAACAATGGCAAGGACATGTACCAAATCTAAAAATAGATACATGTGACATGCTGTAACTGGTTTTCTTTGAAAATGGGACTTCCAAAATTAATGAGCAACATTTAAGAAGATATATATCCATTTTATGCTTTTTAAGAACAGACAAATCATACAAGATGAAGGTACCAATATGCATTTTAAACTTATTTTATCAATCAATTAACTTTTTCACACTTGTTTATCGGTTTATGAGGTCTAATCTGCTTTAAGTGAAGGTACAAATTTTTTCAAAGACAGTATCCGAGCAACAAAGGGCTAAATCAAAACAAATTACGCACCTCAACCTGCTGCTGGAGTGATTGAACATAATTGATTATCTCATCTAGCATCACAGCTTTCCCAGTAATCTTGAAATAGTTAAACAAATCATGATCAACTTAGTTAACACGAAAAATTAGTTTCTACCGCAACTAACAAGTAAAGGAAAATTTAGTCACCTTATTACACCCAGGAACAAGTTCTTGAAGAAGTCTCATTCTCTCACTTATCTTCTCTCTCCTCACCTAATCAATAGGACATGGTTCCATGTTCAGAACATATACATTAAATTTTAAGTTTATACCACAAGCTAAGGTGTTCAAACTGATTACCCTTTCCGCAAGGCTGTGACTATTTGTAGCCTGACCGCGTCTAGCCCTCACATGAATGTAATTTTGCTTTGGAGCCTCTTCACTTTGAGAGTTATCTTTCACTTGTTTTCCTGCTTGTGGACTGGACGAATTGGCAACAGCATTTGGCTCGTTTCTCTTTTTCTGATCATCGTGTCCCTTTTGACCTGACACATCACTTGAATTATCTTTCTGCGGGTCTCCATCAGTAGTCTATCATGCACAAAATCCAGCATATTAATCAACTAATTGCATCAATGAATCAACCAGCTCAAGATACAGAAACCATTAGAGGTCATCACTAATATAAGCCCAAACCCCACTTATTAGATTAAGGCTTTGATTGATCGATTGAAATTGATATAAGCCCAGTAATCTAAATCAGGACTCCATCACATTATCTAGCTAATCAAATACTATACATTTACTACAATAACCAAACAGCAACAAGAAATTGACACATTTGTCAAACACAACACATTAATCAATCAAATTGCAAATACATTTTCACAAATTAAACAAGTCAATCAAGTTATATAAGCTGATATATACCTCATTAGTCGGAGAAGGAGACTCGGAGTCTCGTTTCCTCTTGCCATTTGGTGATACTCCTACAGCTCTCCCATCGGCGATTTGACAGCCTCGTTCAGTCTGTGTAACATTCGCCGATGAGTTCTCATCAATGCCCCTTCTATTGGAGGCATATGATTGAGGAAAGTGAGACTGTGAACCCCCATGTAATCCAAAAGGACCAACAATTTCAGGGAAATTCCGGCCCCCAAACATCGGAAGCTTTGGCAACATCTGATGAGCAAGGTTCGGATCAGCAGGGTAGTTACCAAGGTGTGAACTGCTAACCCCTTGGGATTCAATTAACAAAGGATAGGAAGACGATTTTGTCAATTCGCCACTAGAAACCATAGAAGAAGCACCATAATTTCCACTTTGATTACCAAGTGAAACCATTTGATCCCAATTAGAACCATAAATTGAACTTAATGTCGTAGATCTTGAGATCATACCCGAAGACGGCGAATTGGGTATAATTTCACCATTATAATGGAACCCCATTTGACTACTACTCCCATCATCACCCATATTCTAGAAAACAATAACCAAAAAGACCCCAAAACGTAAGTTCATTGTTGATATATAATTACACAAATAAAACAAAAAAGAGCTCAGAATTCAACAAACTAACACAAACCCAGTACACAAAAGAGGAACAAAAAATTGATAAATTAAGTAAAGGAGTTACAGCAACTAAAGCCAAAGTGACTTTGACCAAAAATGAGCTTGCTGATATCTTGTATGACTTAACAAGGAACAAACTACCTTTGCAGCTTTTTATAGACACTGACTAGAGATGAGCTAAAGTAAAAAAAGAAGGCTCTTAATTCAGCATCCTATGAATATAACCCAAAAAAAATGAATTGGGATTGTGTAAATCCTTTGTATCAGGCATAAAATCTACTACCCCGTATCTAAAAGTCGTTACACCACGGGTCATTGTATATAATTCGTAAGGATGATTTAGGTTTGCGCTTCTTTAGTAAACTTGACCCGATAATATTATTCATGACTACTTAGCTAAGTTATCCCATTGCTAAAAGATCAATCAAGTGACATACGTAATACTGCATCAAATAAATAACCGACAAGAAAGTGATGAATTTTTCAGAAGCATAAAGTTTTGCAAACAAAGAAGAAACGAATAGCACTATTAACAGCTCACCAGAGTTGCATAAAGAAAGCAGATTCCCTTTTCTTGTTCTTCTTCGTTCTACCTTTTATTTATTCACTACAAATAATAAACAAAAAACGAAAAAAAATGATCTGGGCTACCATAAACAGAAGGGATCAAGAATGACAACTCTGTAATCAAATCGACAGTTCGAATCGAAATGGGTATCAAATACTTTCAATAATAATGGATCAAATTTTGTTATATTTGTTCAATTTTCAGAATGAGATTTCCAGAAATTCAAAGGAGAGTGAATTGAATTGAAGCATAAAAAATATAATAAAAATAAATAGTATGGATCACAGGAATAATAATAATAATAATAATAATAATAATAATAATAATAATAATAATAATGATAATGGGAGTAGATTAGATTAGATTAGATTATAGTAATGTAATACTAGAAGGTAAGGAAGAAAGAGAGAGTGTAATGATTGTGATTTAGGAGAGAGAAGGAAAAAAGGGTGGTAAAAGATTGGTTACCTGCTGAAGCAAATGGTGACGTACATTATTTTTTAATACAGTCTAACAACTACTGCCAACTGCTCTTTGTTTGGTAAAATCATTTCCTAAGAACTTCAATAATTTATTTTATTTTTTTTAAAAAAAATTACTTTAACTTTTATGTAATCTTTTATCTAAGCTTTAAAAATAATAATTACATGTATCAGAGAAATGCATTGATTTGTTTTAATTAGTAAATAAATGGGGACTTGGAAGAGCAGAGTTAAGACTTGAGAGGTGCTTCTCTTGTAGCCCAAGCTTGTTGGTAGTATATTTACTTTTTGTTTTATTAATTTTTTATTTTATTCAAGTTTTATATATGAAATTACTGACACAAGTGCCAACTATTTCTTAACTAGCCTTCTCTAAACAATTTGCTGTTTCACACTCATTTTTCTGAGTGCCAACTAACCCCACTCTTTGTTCCTTTTTCATTTCTTTTGATAAAATTAACTCATTATTGTGTAAACTAAGGTTCATGGCCCTATATGATCACCTCTTTCGTCATCTACATTGTCCACTGACCACTGGTGTGGTAATCATGGATTATTCAACCGATAAAACAAATCTAATTTATGGTTGTTTGGTAAAAATTAAGGTGCATTTTATTTCCTATCTCCGTTTTGTATTATTTGCAACGATTAGATTTTTTCACTCACACTTTATGTCATATCGTTGTAAATAATATGAAACGGAGATATTATACAATTTTAATTGGGATTTTTTATTTTTTTTTATTAGCAAAAATTTTATATTATGCAATTTTTATTGACATTTTTCATTTTATACTATTGTAACTTTTTTTCTTTAGAAGAATTGTACTATTGTAATTTGGGTTTCTTCATTTATTACCCTTTTTTTTTTATTCCACATGATAACATTGTAATTTTGACTTATTTTCTACCATAATATCCTGTGAAATACAACATTAGTGTAGGGCATTTGATCCTTTTTTCTAATTTTGACTTCACAATTTGATATTTAAATATCATAATGTCCCTCAAAACTTTAATCAAACAATTTTTTTTCATGAAACAAATTGTAATATGCAAATCGAGACATATTTCCGCACGTAAATTGAGGCAATTTTTAAGCGTTTTAAAATTGAAATTTAAAGGTTTAAACATCTCCTTAACCCCCTATGTTGACAACATCCTCAAATGATTTGAGGAAAATGTCCGGAAAATAGAAGGAGAGCTTTTCCTTCCAATCTTCCGAGATGAAATTAGCCATTAGATGTGTGACTTTCTTGCAATGGGAAGACCATTTGAAAGGAATGGTGTCCTTCCAACAAGTGTATTCTTCCGATAGAGGGTTCAGAATTATTACAGAGCTAATTTTTCAGTAAGGTCAAGTGATCGGAATGCCTAAGTGGAGGCCGCTTCCGATCAGTAATATCAATGTACAATTGATGTTACAGCTTAATCTTAACTGAACCCTTCGGGTCGAACCCAATCGAATCACCGATCCGAGACGACGAATTAATCCGAAAGGATTTAATGAGTCAGCAGAGTTTTATGAATACAGACGTCGGATATCGAGCCTAGGGCATTGAGACAGAGCGTCGCGAAATCACAAAGCAACAAGTATGAACATAGCCCTAGCACCACACTGGCCTAGCCATGTGGATACTAGGCTAGTTCAGGCTAGCATGCACCTAGCATGGCTAGGCGCAAGCCTAAGCAAACTAGGTGTGCTAGGCGCACCATCGCAGCCTAGGTGCACCATCGCAGCCTAAGCGCGCCATGGAAACCTATCGCAGCCCTAGTATCACGCCTAGGCGCTATCGCAGCCCTAGCATGATGCCTAGGCACCATCGCTGCCTATCGCAAGCACCACAAGCGCTAGGAGCACCATCGCAGCTAGTAGCGTGCTAGCATGATGCCCAGGCACCATCGCTGCCATCGCAGGCACCAGGTGCACCAAGCAGCCCATCGCAGCATGCGTGCTGGCTTGTGTGCTAGCCTTCGCATGGCAGCACCAAGCAGCGTGCCATGCATGTGCGAGGGCCTGGGCGCCAGCATATTGCTAGGCCATGCATAGCAGCCCAGCATCACCACGCACCAAGGCTGCTGTGTGATGCGTGGGTGTGCGTGTGGTGCGAGGCCAATGCACGCTGTGCATGACTAGTGCACATGTTGCGTAGCTAGTGCATGTGCGAGGGATGCTGTGAGGATGGTGCGTGTGGCTGGCGAGGCAAAGGGGCCAACATCCGTGGCTCGCTAGCAGCACGCATGCTGGGTGTGCGAGCATGTGCGAAGGGGTGCAGCGATGATACGTGTGGTGCGTGGGATGCGAAGGCTAGCACCAGCGCCAGCACGCACCAACGCCTAGCACTGGCACGCACCAGCACCAAGCATGCGAGGCTGCTAGGCAATCTGGTGCTAGCTGGCTGGGCTGGCTGGCACTGCTAGCTGGCGTGCTAGCTGGCAGCAGCCCAGCAGCCCTTTTGGGTGAGGCGGTTTTGTGAGGGTGGGGACCAAGGCTTTGGGAAATCCTTGGGGAGCAAGGCAATGGTCCCCCCCACCTCTCCATGGTCCTCACCTAACATTCTCTCTCCCTTTGACACTTGTTGCATTGTTATTGAATTTAATTATTAATTTATTTTAGAAATAAATTAATTAGCAAATTATTCATTCTCCCACATTGGTTGGGGAATGAAGTTCAAGGGTTCATTTCCCTATAAATACCAAGCTTGGGTATTGGGAAATGAACAACCTTGAGTAGAATCAAAAAGGCAACTCTAAGTAAGAGTAAACCTTTGATTCGTAAAAATCATAGTTATTTTGTCCGGGTCTTGACTAACCTTCAAGACTTAGGACGCTCGGGTCGGGTCGAGGGTACGATCCGTCGGAGATCTCGTGTTTTCGGGATTTTGAAGTAAGAGCTCTTTAGGAGCGAAGCACGCGACAAAGGTGTAATTCTTGTTCTTAATCTTGTTTGATTAAGTTTAATATGCTTGTTAATTATTTTAATTAAGGGGAGGGACTTGGTGGGTTTCCTTCCGCGTAGTGTCGGGTCACTACGAAACCTTACAGCGGTATCGGAGCCACGCTCCTTTTAATTTTTGCAATTATTTTTTAATTAAGGTGTTTTAAAAGAATTTATTTTTCTGGTTCATGTTCTTCTAATTAGATTAGATGCTCGTTTTAATTAATTTTAAAACTCGATTTTATTTTCGATTTGGCTGTCGAACCCAGATTTTGGCTCAAAAATAGTGATTTTTGGGTGGAATCAACGTTCTAGATTAGATTCAATCCTTTTAGACCTGTCTAGAAGCCAAATTCGAACCAGAAACCCATTTTTTATGGGGTTTTTTGTTTTTCAACGAAAATTTTAATTCTTTTTAAGCCTTGATTAATGCAAGCATTACAAGGTTAGATTAAATGCACATTTGCATCACTAATCTACTGGTTTTAAAATATCCTTAAGCATAATAATGAAGTTTTTATTAATGCTTAAGTTGATATAACATTTTTTCACATAAACTTGTTTTTCACAAATTTTGCAAATAAATTGCAATAAAGTGTGAAAACTTGTTGTGATCTTGTAATTTTAAGCTCCTATAATGTTAAAGTTCTAATCTTTAAAGGTTTAAATTATTGGAACCCTAACCCAAAATTCCATGTTGAACAAAGTTTGGATTTTTCATGTTTGGTTGATTAAAATCCATCAAGTTCAATTACTTGTGAGTAAAATTTGATTAATCTTCATATTGGAAGATGTAATGTTGACAATTTTGCACAAGTATGCAAGTTGGAAAATTTTTATCATTTGATGGTTAATTTATTTTTCTAAATCCCATTTGTCAAACCCATTATTAATTTGCATATTGGCAAGATTAATCATGGACATAGCTCATTTTATTTTAAGCATAAAGATAGACCTAATTTTGTTCAAAATTGAAATTTTTGGATAATTTAGGCTTGTGCACCAATAAAATAAATTTTATTTAAGTAGGACTTAATTTTATTTTATTTTATTTTCCCTCAAATTAATTCTAAAATGTAATTTAGAATTAATTATTTCACACAAATCAGAAATAATTTCGAGAATTGGCACGCAAATCAAGGCAAAAACACCCAAGCGTCACCAAGGCTAGCCGAGCTGCCCAGCAGCCCACATGTGGCTGCCTATGGTGCGCACAGGGGTGTGCCATGATGTTGCTGTGCGCTGTTGTGTGGCGAGGAGGCAGCTGTGTAAAGCGTGGGCCTTAGGCTACTGGTGCGCTTGTGGTGCTACTGGGCAGCAAGCCCCAGCCAGCCAGCCCACTGCTGCCTGCGCCAGCAAGCAGCTAGCATGCGTAGCATGCGCAGCATGATGCTGGTGCTAGCTAGCAAGGCAGGCTGTGCTAGGCATGCCTGCTAGCTGCCAGCACCTCGCACCATGGCGCAGGGCCATGGGCTGCCTAGTAGCCATGGTGCACACCCACTAGGGATTT